TTTAGAGCTTTTACTTTATTTTACTCACAAATAAACCTATATTTCAAACATTTTACCAAAAACCTAAATGATTAAAGACTTTTGCTGATTTAATTTTGAATAACCCTATTAAATTTCACTGATAACACAATAATGGTTTTACATTGTATTTCGTCATCCTAGCTTCTGCAAATTTTGCACACTTGCCAAAATTAAGTAAAAATAGATGTATCGAGGTCATTACATATCTCAACATTACCGCATGCTTCAAACAAGGGCATAATCTATAACATTTGATTGTCAGTTTATTGGATAGTATAAATAGACTAAGAATTACTCATAACTATAATTAGAAATGACATCATTGTTATCTAGCAAAATACTGATATGATAACAGCAAATTACGTTGTTTTATTTTTTGTCGTATTTTACGTATCAACAACTACATATATTATATGAAATACTTTTTCTATAACACTACTTTAAAAGTAAGTAAATTATATATTTTATTTGTTTCATGTTATATTTATTTTTTTATTTCTTTTTTGGTTTCTTTCCGTGCTATTTTTTGTTTATTTGTTTCTTCTATCTGTTTAAGGGTTTCAGAAAAATACAGTTAAACATTTAAGTAAAATGGTTACCGTATCTCACATATGTCAAACCAGCCTGTTGTTCTGTGCAGCCTGACCAGGCTTTATGCTTAAAGATTATTAATTAATATTTTCACCTGCATCTCGCTCAATCTGATTTAAACAGAATCATAAAAGAGATAAATAATCTTTTTTATGACCTAGAACTACTTCCTGATTCAAGTTAATTTACATGAAATAAAAACAAAATTTAAAACTAAGATATTGTGAAGGGAACAAAGAAAGTAATTTACACATTGCAAATGGCAATTCAAATAAATTACAAAATCGAGGTCAAAATATAAAAAACTGCGTTAGTAACAGCAGTAGAAATATGGTATTTTACTGTTAAATCAGTTTTATTTGCATGCAACATGTAAATTATTACATGAATCTTGAATATTGTTACTTTTCTTTAACTCTCATTTTTCTCAGTTTCATTTCTTATAATATTTTGAATCATGTGGAGGCATGGCCTTCAGGTTTTGAAAATAAAACAGCATAAGCATTCTAATGAGATTAATGCCATCTACTTGCATCTATAATAGTAGCACAAGCAAAATATTGAGAAAATTGAACAAATATAACTCTAAATAATTCAATCATAAGCTGAAGAAAATAATATTTGAAGTTAAAAGAAACAATGTAAAAAATTACGTTCATGATGTATACATACTTCATTATTGTATGTAAAAATGTTATGTATTTTGAGGTATAACCGTTTGTGATATATGTAATTTTGAGGCAGGCCATTTTTTATACCTTATTGTTCCATTCAGGTTTAATTATTGTTTTAATCATGGTTTTGTAACCATATTTAATGCTTCCGATTATTGATTTCTTTATTACTTCTTTCAAAGATCATGTAGGAATGAAATGATAGTGATACAATTGCCTATTTCAGGTTTTCATCAGATGTAATCATGTTATCAGCTAAAGAGAGATACCTATCAAAATGTATGAGTCAGTACCTGGATGAACTTGGATTTGATCATGAAAGAATTCAAGAAAGAATTAGATTTAATACAAAACTCTCCAAAGCTATAGACTTATCAACTAAATGTCTCCTGAAAAGTGATAAATTTGAAGAAATAATTGCAGGCAGTACAAGTGAAGGGATAGGAATGTTATGTACCAATGATCTGGATGTTCTCCATATAAATCATGCTGTCATTTGCTGTGACAGCTGGTTAAGTACAGAAAATGACAAATTGAAATTCAAAATGGTGCGTCAAAAAGCACCTGCAGGGTATACGTTCCTGAAATTAATGTGTAAAGGTACAGATTCTGAAACTTATAAAAATATTGAGTACGCATTAGTAAAAAGGAAAACAGAATATTATCTGTCAAGTAAGCAGTACATGACAAAAAATGATGAAAACATTTTACAAATTATAAAAGGTAGTTTTCTTTCCAAGATGACATATGTTAAAAAACCACAAGGCCCATCCATTCCCACCTTTTTTGAGGAATTTGATAAGGATGGTTTAGCTTCCTCTTTAGATATATCTGACCAGGGGGTGGATTTTGTCCGAGCTTTCTCATGCCAACAAGATGATGAATTTCTGATTGCATGGAAAGGAAGGAATAGAAAATTTGGTTGGCCCAGTAAAGAGAATATAGACAAAGTAATGTCGCTTCCTGTTCATGTTGTTGCAGTTGGCAAAGAAGGCACAAAAACGAAGGTTTGCAGTGGAGAATCTCTTTCACTTTGGCAGAGATATATCTAGTGAAGGCTTTAAATAACACACAAACAAAGGTGCTTGTGATGATGAAGCTTATAGCCAAGCACGTTTTGAAACCACTGTGCAGAAACATTACTTCTTATGTAGTTAAGAATGTTGTGCTATGGTTGGCTGAAAGGATTGATCAAACAGCCTTTTATGAGGAAAGTCTAATCTTAAGACTGACAGATGCACTTGAACAGTTAAAAACAGCTGTAGAAAAAGGAAACATTCCTAGTTATATGATACCACAAAGGAATCTGATAGAAAATAAAATTACAAGGGAAGAACAACAGTTACTTGTGAGGAAGGTGACATTTCTCCAAGTAAATGCCTTTAAAATGGTGAATGAATTCTTCAGTGGTAGGTGTCCAAATAATTATTATAGAAAAATAGAGAAAATGACCCTAAAATTCTGTTACGCTAATTTAATTGACATATTGCTTACAGTTGCCTTTTCATGTAACACAGCAGAAGAACTTGCAGGTTTAAACACTGAATTGTATGCATGCAAGTCATTAAGGCATGTGTACCTATTGATGGTAGTTTTTATTTCGGTTTCCTTTTACCTTAAACACGACAAAAAGGACAATAATAAAGAAACAAATAAAAGGAAAGCACAAACAATGAAAGACAAGAGAAAGAAACACAACACCAAGAAGCTTAAGACACAACACCATGAAGCTTAGACACAACACCAAGAGGCTTTAAACACAACACCAATAGGCTTAAGACACAACAACAAGAAGCTTAAGACACAAATCCAAGATACTTAAGAACCAACACCAATAAGCATAGGACACAACACCAATAGGCTTAAGACACAACACCAATAGGCATAAGACACAACACCAATATGCTTAAGGTACAACGCAAAGATGCTTTAGACGCAACACCATAAAGTTTTAGACCAAACACAATGGAAATTCAGACACAATATCATGTAGTTAAGACACAACACCAAGAGGCTTAAGATAGAACGCAAATATGCTTAAGACACAATATCAAGAAGCTTTAGACACAACACCAAGAAGCTGAAGACACAACACCAACACAAAACACTATTAAGCTTAAGACACAAGAAGATTAAGACACAACGCCAATATGCTTAAGACACAGCAACAAGAAGTCTAAGATGATGACAGCGAAATAACAGTTCTGCAGCATGAGGGATGAGGGGTGGAGCTACGTTTTAGGATTCTAGGATTTAGTTTCGGTCTTTTGATTGGAATTTTTGTCTATTTTAAGATTCAGAATTTCCAACCGAATTTCCATATTTTGTTTCTTTAAATAGCTACAGCAAATATTAAAGGCTTTTTGTAAAATTGTGTATACATTTAAACCACACATGTACTGTAATTAAAATTAATGCGGCACTTTTTAATTAAATTAAAATGAAAGTTCTGCTCCAGCGAGGATATACTATTTTAGGAAACTGGAATCCAACTTAGTTTTATATTAAGAACTTTTTTTACCTGCATTCTTTTTAGACTGACACGTATAGACGTGTTTGCTAGTCAATAAACAACATTCGTGTATTGTAGTAGATCAAAAATAACTTATGTTTAGTTTAGCGTAAAGAGACACACGCCTTGTTAAACATTTAACTATCAGATATCATAAAAAAACTTGCATTTTTGTCATCATAAGAGAGAAAATACAAAGTTGGTGTTCACGCCATAAGAAGGTAGTTACAGAATGTGGATGCATACAGTTTACTGAAAACTCTACGCTATGAATTCAAGACATGAAAAATGCTATTTTTACATTTACTTGTTGAAACAGTTTAAAACACATCAACAGATTTAAAAATATATTTTCATTGAAACATGATATTTCACTACACCTCGGTATATCGCTGTAAAAGGATATTCACTCGTTGTAAATATATATAAATACAGATAAACTGTATGATTAAACTTGTCGGATGTGACGTTGATCAAATCGAGGGAAGCTTTTATTTCAGCAAACTATAAAAGGTGCAGAAAAGTCGCAATGGTCTTTTCAAGGTTGACTGAGTATTGAAGTGTCGCAAAAGAAATGGTGTAGTGGTAGTGCTCTTGAAATGGTTGGGATATCCCAAGAAATTTTTGGATAAAAGAAAGTGACATTCATGAGAATTTATTTTTATATTTATAATCGCAGTATTCTGTCATCCTCTTCATTTCACGCTGAGAACATCATTAAAAATGACTTACCAGTGACACATATGTGACAAAAATACATCTGTGAATAGGACTTGGAAAAGACATTTCAAAACTAGACATCCGATGAAAATTGTATGCAGCAGCCTCAGCAGCAGCTGCAGCATCAGCAGCAGCAGCAGCAGCAATCTAACATTAAAAGTCGTCCAGAGCAGGAATACAGCATGACTATCCTCCAGCAGCAGCAGGAATATAACTGTTAAATAAATGACCCTCATGGGGTGACCAACTTTGATCCAAAGAGGGTGATCTATTAAGCGGCAAGGACCTCAAGGTAATGATTCATGCAAAATTTCTAAGCTCTAGTCATGACAGTTTCTGAGAAAAATTATTACAAAGATTTCTCAAGATATTTTTTTCTATTTTTCTCATGTGACATAATTATGCATCATAAGAACCATTAATATAAATTTTGTAGATGGTAACCTGCTAAAGATCATTCCTGTGAATTATGTAAAAAAAATGAATAAGAATAAAGAGTTAATTTACAATGAAAGACAAAAAAGAACAAAAAAAAACAAAAAAAAAACAAGCGAGATGATCACAAAGGTTCTCTTCTGAGAACTTGGAGCTTCAAAGGGAAATCATTTACCAGATTTCCACCACATTCGCTGAATCATCGAAGAATATAAGACAGCAACCGTAATGACTTTGTTACAAAGTTTAGCAAATTTATTTTTATAAAGCCGATGAGTACATGCACGATTTATACTTATACTAGTGTGACTCACAGGCAGGATTATCCAGCATCCATTCATATTAACTATATATAGATACTGTATAGATACTGAATATTATAGTGTCATTTCATGAAGCGTTGACATACTGTTGAAAAAAATAATTCATACAAGAATTTGCTTATGACAAAAAATAACTTCTACAGACTTAATAAAACCGAGTCTGCAGTTTTCATGTAATTTTGTTGTGATAAATGATTCCGAGGGATCACTCTGTTAAGATGAGTTTAAAAAATAGAAAAAAAAAGTTTGACAATTTTACAATTAACAATAATTATCTAACTCAGTAAGATCAATAAATGCATTTAAATATGGTAGAAATAATGTATCAAGTACCAAATTACACCGATACTGTGTCAATGAAATTATCTGAAGGACTAGCTGATATAGGTGTTGATGAGAGTAAAGTGCTGAAGAGGAGAGAAACAATGATAAATGTGAATGACCAATTATAGAATATATATTCTTATATATCATACTATATCGGTAGTCGATCAGAAGGTACAACTACCATGGGGATGAAGTCAGAGGCAGATCATCATTTTTGTTTAAATTATTTTCCTGTAAAACAAGACTGGAGTGAATGGATACCTGATATACTTAATTATTTTCTGCTGATGGAGAATCTGATCAATACTTCTTCAGAGACAGAACAGGAAAAATACTGCTTAAACATATTTTACTACCTGGTAAAATACATATAAAACATCTGTTTGGTGGATTCCTAGACAGGCTTCAAGTAGCAGCAGGACCTCCTGGTTACAGTGATATGGACTTTGTGTTAGCTTTTCACTGTAAAACATGACAACAAGCTAGACGGTGGCTGGATCAACAAGGTGGTACTGTGATACTCATTGTTAAATTACGGTAGTTCTAAGGATAGGGTCATATTCAATTTTTCAATTTTGTAGCTACAATGTTTAACTACGTGCAGATAGGTTTTAATCATTTCATTAACAGTTTTAAAATGCATGCGATTTTTTCATTTAATTCAATATCGGCTGTGGCCACCTTTGGCTCTAAGTAGTGCGTCAACACGTCGACGAATAGAATTGACGAAACGTTGAACAAGGTTATTTGGAAGATTGTTCAATTCCGCTATCAATGCATTTGTCAGTTGGAGGATATTCTGTGGGGCGTGATGTCGTCGGATAGTTCTGCCAAGCACATCCCAGATATGCGGATTTATATCTAGAGACATTGTTTGCCATTGCATGGGATTTACGTTGGCTGCAGCTAAGCAAGTGCGAGTTATCCTCGCCGTGTGAGAACGGGCTTTGTCTTGTTGAAACACCACGGGACCGTTTCTTTGCATAAACGGAATAATCACGGCATTCAAGACTTCGTAGATGTATCTTTGGGCATTTAAGTTGTCGTGTATAACAATAAGCCGGGTCTTTTGTCCATCTATTATTCCGCCCTGAAGCTTCGACCACCGAAGCGATCTTGCTGTCTAACACAGACAAGTGCAAACCTTTCGCACTTTCGACAGTAAATTCTGACACTGAGATTGTAACAAGACTCGTTTGAAACAAGACAGTATTCCAGTCACATCGCCACAAGTGACGGTGCGCACGTGCCCACCTAATACGGGCCTTACGATGGCGTAAAGTGAGAATACTGTATATGGGCGTCACGCTCTAATAGGGCATTGTTGTGCACGCAACCCATTGCGAATGGTTGGTGCAGTTACGTTTAACGCAGGCGCGGTCAAGGTCGCCAGTCTGAACCTGTCACGTAAGTGAGATAAAACAATTGCACTGTCGTTCCTTTGGGTAGTTGCGTTTGGCCTACCTGACCTTGGACGATTGTGCATATCACCTGTAAGTCTTTGGCGTCTTACAAGTTCAAGAACTGTGTTGCGACTGCAGTTAAACGTTCTACTCACGTCAACAACAGATGCCCCACCCAGCAGCATTTCTATTGCTTGAATTCTCTCTGCTTCTGATAAACGTGGCATTGTGAAAGCTATCAACTTTATGTGTGAATAATTCTAAATTGTTACTGAACACATGTATAGTGCCTTACATCACTGTCTATCTGACATCTTAAGCATGCACGGGGTTCACGTGCAAAAACTAAAATTTTACGCATAGTGTATCTATTGTTAATGAATACTCACTACACATGTTTTGATTTAAATTACAAATTAAAAAATATTTAAAAGAAATAAAGTGTCAGGTTTCTATTTTTGTTGAGTGTATATATTTTATGCCTTGACAAGGTGGTTAATTTCATTGCAGAGTGGTTTATGCCATCGCAGGGTGGTGTATGTCCTAACAGGTTGGTGAATCCAAGATCGGAACGGATATGTAATAAATAGATTTCAGGTATCATTGTACATGAAGTTATTTTATTAATTTTGACTGATGAATCGTATCATGTTGTTTATACTTTCATGTCTCGTATAATTGTCTGTATTTTTATGTTTCACACTAAACTTCCTGTATCTAAAGATGTGTCAGAAATTTGTACTGTGATAGCTAATAGCCAAAGTTTTGTATGTTTATATATGTTGCTTCCCATTTATATGCCATAAATACTACATACCAATATGGTACTTATTACGAGTGCTGTTAGATATATACAAGTTATTTGTATGAGTTATAAATTTTATAGATATACTATTAATAAAAGATGCTCAGAGTTGAAATTATTGTGTCTGTTTTGTGATATCTTTTGCTTTAGTTGGACTTTTAAGAAAGGATTGCTTTGCTGCAACACTTGATAGAGGTTTTGCTTACAACTGTATATCTTATTATTCCTATGACGTGCTGTATTTCTTAAGTGGGCTTTTTCAGCTTTCAGTTTCATTGGATTTGTCCATTTTTAAGTTGGGGATGTCAAGGTAAAATCTAAATTAAGAATATTCAAAAAGTAACTTTCCATGATTCAAAGTAACATATTTCTTATCATATTAAACCTTTTCAAGCGATTAAAGTTGCATCCAGATAAACCAAAATATTTAATGAAAATCAAACTTGATAAAGATGTACTGATTATGCCGTATTTATCACCATTTATCACCATATATATATTTCTACAGCGTTCCTCATACAGTAAGGTCTATTTTTCATAATTTGGCCTCAATTATTGTAATTTACATGGATTTTGAACATGGTTTGCAATGTATGAATTTATCACCCTTTTTCTTTTTAACAGTTTTAACTTTAAATTCAATTTCAAAATGTTCATGAAAATTTGCACGAATCTGGAGCCCGGCTGCTTTAAAATATGAGTTTCTAGATTTTTCAGAAACAAATTTTCTATGATTTACATTGATGATTTTTGTGATAAATATCCTATTATTGTTTGCTCTATTGATCAAATAAAACTTCAATTCATTCCGTACTACAGGGTCCATTGAATTTAGGACTGTCACTGATCATAGAAAATAATTTATTGATATATTGAAAATGAAATATTGACATTAAATATGCATTGTATATAAAATTAAACAGCTAGAGAAGTGGTAAAATACTTTATATAAACTGTGATGATTGTCTTATGTATTCTTGTTTTTGTAATCAAAAATACAACATACTTTAAGGTTAAAAAGCTAGAAAGTGGTACAAATTTAAATACGTCATATAAACTGTAAGATTTCATTGTGTTATATTTGCTTGTTTTAGTCAGCAAAAATACAACATACTTTAAGAAAGTATTTTGTCTTATAATAAGTTCTCACTTTTTCTAAAAGATAAAATTCAGGGTTCAAGCTATTTTACAATAATTATACCATTATTAACATGGCAAATATACCATATGCCATGGGCAATGTTTCTGTGTTTAGAACTTTATATCTCAACTACAAGAAAGGGAGGAAACAAATGTCAGATATATAGAAATTCATGAATAGAGTTAACTTCTTAAAATTGAAAAAGAAAGAGGAAGTAAAATTATAATAAAAATTCCCCCAACATTTCGCAATTGAGAAATTGATCAAAAAGGATGTTTCCTTGAAAGGTGTTGGAATCTTCAGACCTCATTTTCTATAATTTACAACATATAAAAAAAAAGGTAATATTTTATTCCTACTTTCGGAGAAATGATAAAAATAGAAATTTATTAGGTAATAACGAGTTTCATGATAGCTGTATTAATGAAAGAGGAAGACAAAAATAGTTGAGCTTTTAATATTCATCAAGAATTGGATACTTATGAATATGATGATAAATACTTTAAAGATGAATCATTAAGTAAATATGTTAAAAAATGCTTCGTTTTTGAAACATTTATGTATCTGTCAGACTGAGTAAAGAAATCAATATAAGAATTTCATTTATGTCTACTACACAAACTGCATGAACAATATGCAAGCTCTTGGCATAGTAAGTAACATGTTTTCAAATGTGTTTTTCTACACAAGTCTATACATGTAAATTAAATGACCTCAGGACACGGCCAACTTTGGCCCCAAGGGGCATGATTTACATAAGTTTTGTTAAAAAACACTGATTAAGGCTTTTGTCATTGCACTTTCTGAGGAGAATATTACAAAGATTTCATGTTTAAAGTCGTTTTTGAGCTTCTGTGACTACTATGTTTCAGATTTGAGCCAATAATATTAGTTTTGTGAAGTTCATTCCAGTTAAGTTTGATAAAAATAGACCATGATTGTGGTTTAGGAGGAAATGTTGTAAACGTGGTTAACGAGTTTATTTACGATGAAAGACAAAAACAAATAACAACACAAAAACAAAACAAAAGCATTCCGTATTCACAGTAAATGCCTTTGACCAGGTTTCTAAACCATTAACTATTATAGCAGGAATTACTTTGATAAAGAGTCTAGCAAATTTTAAATTATCATAGAATATAATGAGTACTGTTGCTTGCATTTACTTTTGCCCTTTACCCATGTTACCCACAAGCATTTTAAAATCATCATTAAATAATCTCCAGAACCAAATAACTATCTACCATCATCCATTACCTTATAGTAATTTTACCATTATTGACCCATTTCAATAATGTTACCTATGTTTGACTTTCAATGGACTATAGTTTAATATTAAGAACACAGAAAACGAAGGGAGATAACAAATGTCAGATATATAAATAGTCATAAAAGAGTTATCTTATTAAGACTGAAAGAGAAAGAGGAAGTAAAATTACTTAAGAAAACCCAATATTCCAGATAAACGAAGGCAAAATGAATAAAACAAATGTTAAACCGTAATCTACTAAACCTTACTGAAAATAGAAACAAAAGGTAACTTTTAATACTAATAATATGTGTAGTGTTACGAGTATAAGGAAATAAATAGTACATGTACATAATAGATCAATGATGAGTTTCATTTCATAAAGAGTTTACATACTGCTTAAAGAATCATAAACGAAAACCACAATTATATAAATAATACAAGAATTTACTGTTGATGTAAAATGCTTCTAAATTATTCTACACTGGAAAGTGAGTTAAAAAAAGCAAAATTGTTTTGAATAATCATTACAATTAACAAATATCATCTGACCATATAAAATCAATACAAAAGAAATAAAATAAATTAATATGTTATGAATTTAATTTACAGAATGTTTCAAGTACCAAATTACACCCAGACTGTGTCGATGAAATTATCTGAAGTACTAGCTGATATAGGTGTTGATGAGAGAATAGTGCTGAAGAGGAGGAGAGCATTGCTTCTGAGAGAATCAATGAAAAATGTGAATTACCAATTACTGAATGAAAATGCTTATATTTTATACTATTTCGGGAGTCAATCAGAAGGTACAACTACCATAGGGATGAAGTCAGACTCAGATCAACTGTTTTGTTTAAATGATTTTCCTGTAATACAAGATTGGTGTGAATGGATACCTGATGTACCTAATCTATTGATGATACAAGATAATTCTGTATCTCCTGGATACTGTTTACTTCAAGTGCTACAACGTGATGCTCCTCTTCCTGCTGATAGAGAATCTAATCAATCCTTCTTTAGAGACAGAACAGGAAAAGTACTGCTAAAACAATTTCTAATGTTTGATGGATATTTCGACAAATTAAAATTACATGGACCAGCAAGAGTAGAACAAGGCTCACATGGTTACTGTGATACAGACATTGTTGTAGCTCTGCACTGTAAAACATGGCCACAACAAGCTAAACAATGGTTGGATCAACAAGGTGAAGGTCAATGGCCGTCTGCTGAAATAAAACAATATTGCAGTCGAACTGGATGCTTTGTTGTTCCTGTTGGATGTAGAAGGGGTGACTTTAGGCAACTTGAATGGAGAATATCAACATCTTTAGCTGAAAGGTGTTTAATGTTAAACCTGAATATTACACAGATACGCTGTTATGTCTTGATGAAAATGGTTATAAAATCATACCTTGATCCAGAGTTTGAAGATGTGATTTCCAGTTACGTGTGTAAAACTGTACTCTTCCACTGTATTGCCAATTCACATTTTTACATTTGGAGAGAAAACAATTTACTTTCTTGTCTATCACTGTGTTTATATCACCTGTATAATAATATCGTTAATGAAAACTGCCCACATTTTATCATACCAAGGAACAATTTGATGAGGGGTAAGATATCAGCTGTAGTCAAACCATATATCCTGGAAATACTAAGCACCATTATCAACAGTGAAGGAGTGGCATTATTTGGTATTAAATGTGATGATCTTGGTTCCAGGCTACATCTCAAGTTTTATAACTTATGTCCATTTAAGTCAAGTGATCGCATTTCAGGAGTTGTATTATATGATGCAGCTAACAACATTTCAAATTTACTTCTTTTTAATAGTTTCACTCTAAAGAACAAAAGTCTTAATGAAGCTGTACATACACTGATAGACTGTATATCTAAGATCTTAAATGATCAATATGAAGGATTGGTTGAGACAGCCTGTCAACTTCTAGCACCATGGTATTGTACAACACTTGGTTCTATGCTGGCCTCCATCAACATCAATCAGCACAACACTGTATCAGCTGATGCCCTCAAGCTAATCTCACTTGGTTTGTATACAGATGTTGCTTCAAGTAAACTGAAATTAGCTTCAATCTTATACTGTGCACAAGAAATAGAAAAAGCTGACCTGGTTCTCAGTGAGATTGAAAGAAGCTATGATCTGCAAGTTGTTGAACCAGTCTGTAGTTGTTATCCCTTAGAAAGAAAAGTAAGACCAGGATTCTTTGCGACATGTGACAATCATAATGAAGATGCCATACAATATGCAACAGCATCATGTGTCATATTTTTGCCATGTGAAATTTACTGTGTACCCACTGAACTCCGGTATGAAATGATAAGATCTACACCGGAGGACAGAATATACCGCACAGAAAATGATGATCACTGGATGGATTATGCTGTGGTGGATTCTCTCCCTTACCTGTACTTTCTACAATACAAGGTTAACAGCCATCTTGAGAGAAATAATGAAAAACAATCTGCTCTCTCAAAACTTCATAGAACCATACTAACCGAGCAAAACCTTGGACACCGGGAAACAGCTTTAAATATTCTCGGAAAGTGTATGGAACAAGAAGGTAGAGTAAGGGATGCTCTACAGTGTTATTTGATGTCTCTAAATCTAAGGAGAAGAAATAATGCTGCAAAGATACATATCTGCACACTTCTATCTGCATTCGGAAATTTCAGGGTATAGAATGTACAACAAAACGGTGGAAAAACTCACGTACAAATTTTGATGAAAGAGTGACATATAAAAGTAAAGGAATAGTCCTGTAAAACAGCATATTATATATATGTAAAATATTTCTTTTTATTAAAAAAAACCAGAAACTTTAAATATTTAATATAATTCCGTCAGCACTCCATAGAAAATAAGAAAATTATAAATTATGATAAATGAATGAGGAACATTACTGCTAAATATCATATTAAATCACATACATCCTTTATAATACTACGGACACCCTGCTATCACAATCTTTATTTCTCTTCTGAAGAGAACTTGAATATTACTCTCTGTTTACAATAACTGATTTTACACTTGGCATCACATAGTCACTTATGTGTGCGACCAGAACTAATAACAGATAAACAACATGATAATTTGACAATTATACTTTTATTAAGGTACTTCATAACCTTGTGGCGGAAATTTTGGCTGCAGACGGGCAAAACCCATAAATTTTATCCAGTCCCGGGGGAGACTACTAACTGCCTTGTTACACTGGCAAGTCAGTGACCCAGGTTTACAACCTGGTGTCAGTCCCAAAAGTTGAACACGCTTAAGTGGACAGGTGTTAGCGGGCTGCCAAGATTACATCTGACTCCTGAGCAACGAGGGTCCCGGACGTAGCCCTGCCCTGGGCCTCCCCTCCATACGTAGAGGTGGAGGGGGGTGCCAACGTAACCCTGGAGTGCACCCCACCATAATACATAAAACTAATACATACAATGAACCTGCATGCTTTCAAGCAAGTCAGGCCAGGAGAAAGAGCCAGACAGTACCCGTAACCCCCTTTTTCGTCTCCCCGGGCCGCTCCCCCAGATCGAAAATTGTACCCTTCTCTGCGCCTGTGATTTAACTGCAAAACAAACTGCAAGAAATTTATTTATAGTAGTCCTAATAAATTCCTATACTGTTAATAACTTTTGACATATATCGCTGTCTGTTTTTTTGTTTGTTTTTGTTTTTTTAAAGGTAACATTATGAAACACGTAGATGTAGAGCGTTAATGTAACCACTGTAAAGATGAAGTTCACTTCCTGAGTTCCAAGGAGTAATTTGACTTTTACTCTGAACTTGAATGTTAACTAGCCTTACTAGAACTGGAACTTGTATGACTAAATTGAGTTGAAGAAATCCCTTCCATATGTTTGTAAAAATTATCACTATTGTAAAGTATTAATTATTAGGATGTATTGTTCTCCAGTCTGTACTGAGCACACAGGTATGTTAACAAGATCCTTTGTACAAACAGTTTCAGTGCACACAAAAATCCTGATGGCACAAAACTCCGAAACCAGATTCTAAACCAATATCCAGATGAGGTTGGAGGTTCTCTGGAAGCTGGCTGCTGTAAGCTGGCTGCTGTAAGACTGTTAAGAAAAAGAGTCCCTGAAAGAGAAAGAAAAGGCGGCAGAAATTGTTCTCATAAAGGGGAGGGCGGGCGGGTGCGTTTTTGAAGGACACTGTTTCGGAAAGTTCCCGGATAATGATTCGCCTCCTTTGAAGAGTATCTTAGTATGTCTAAATTCCGTACTTTACTTTACCGGATTAAACTGCACCTACCCACCCGCTAGATGATGTGTTTAAGAAGGATTATCGAATACGAGATTCTGGATAATCCCTATTAAATCACATACATCCTTTATAATACTACGGACACCCTGCTATCACAATCTTTATTTCTCTTCTGAAGAGAACTTGAATATTACTCTCTGTTTACAATAACTGATTTTACACTTGGCATCACATAGTCACTTATGTGTGCGACCAGAACTAATAACAGATAAACAACATGATAATTTGAAAATTATACTTTTATTAAGGTACTTCATAACCTTGTGGCGGAAATTTTGGCTGCAGACGGGCAAAACCCATAAATTTTATCCAGTCCCGGGGGAGACTACTAACTGCCTTGTTACACTGGCAAGTCAGTGACCCAGGTTTACAACCTGGTGTCAGTCCCGAAAGTTGAACACGCTTAAGTGGACAGGTGTTAGCGGGCTGCCAAGATTACATCTGACTCCTGAGCAACGAGGGTCCCGGACGTAGCCCTGCCCTGGGCCTCCCCTCCATACGTAGAGGTGGAGGGGGGGTGCCAACGTAACCCTGGAGTGCACCCCACCATAATACATAAAACTAATACATACAATGAACCTGCATGCTTTCAAGCAAGTCAGGCCAGGAGAAAGAGCCAGACAGTACCCGTAACCCCCTTTTTCGTCTCCCCGGGCCGCCACAGAAAATAACATTTTTTCTTCCATTATAAAATTTATACATAAACAATATTGTAAACATGTTTTGGAATAGGATTACTTATATACATTTTAGATAAATGAACAGTATACATTTTAAGATAAATGAATGTAACAGTTTTTGATATTCATTTCAGTCATAACATGTAATGACAATCACAGCTTTTATGATGTCTATAGGGTGGCTGTTGGTAATGTTAGTAAAGAATTGTCTGGTGTACTGTTAATCAGAGACTGCAAAGCTGTCTTCCAGTTGTTGATAAGAATGGAATTACCCAAGCTTGACAAGTGTGTTCCATCAGTATGGAATAAGTTTACCTCCTTAGCAGAAATATTGTTATTGTCAATGTATTGACCTCCATTTTTAAGAATAAAGGATTTGATTGCAATATTCACTCTTGTTCGTTTTTTTTCTATTTTCTTTCCAGCACCAAGAGGTGCATAGTGCCAGTACCTCCTTTGAAGGATTGATGACCATATTATTGTAGTTTTTACAGAAAAGTGCTTGATATCTCAGGATTGAACACTGAATCTTTTCTATCAACATTTTACCTGTGACTCCCTCTGATGTCAGATCATTGGAGCCGCAATGAATCAATATAAATTGTGGTTTTGGCATTTCCATTAACATCGAGTCCATGAGTTTATCTAAACCATCAAAAACGAGACCTCTGCATCCCTTCCACTTAACTGACATGTTATGCTTTGTAAAACCAAGTTGTGGGTCATCCAGCCTTGCAGTTCTTTCAGCCCAGTGAACAATGGAGGACCCCATAATCCAGAGACATTTATGACCTGAAATAACTTGGGGACAGTTAGTTTTTGGTTGATGTGTTGTAAAGATAGGAGAAAAAGGAAATTATTTAGGGGTTTAACCTGATATAACGAGTGAAAACCTCAGACTTCCAGCGTCCCATGACCTTAATTCTGTCGTCGGGCACCCCAATACTGTGGAGGTATGTTGCTCCACCAATGCGAAAGCTATGTGATCTGACATGATCGGGAGCATCTATAAATTGTAAAGCTTTCTGTAAAAGTGAACAAAATTGATACTTTGTCAGGGGCTTGGTATTGAAGTGGATAAACAGATTATCCCTGTCGGCTGCATGGGGACGGTTCTTAAGGTACTTTGATAGACTGTTAACTGGACAATGGATCCCACCATTAGCTTTAATTTGTAATGTGACCGATAGACCTAGCTGATCAGTTTTTGACCATCTAATTTTCAAAAAGACTGTGTTATTAGATAGATGAACATCACTAACTAACAACTGTTTATGGTTAGACGATATAGTGCTGGGTACTGTGAACTCACTGACTCTTAGCAAACCAAAGAATGCCAAGGAGAAAGCTGCAGTGAACATGACTTGTTCATATTTGTTGCTACATATATATTTTAGACTGTAAATCATTTTATCAAGTAAGGTAAGTGTAATAGGAGCCCTTAAATCATTAACATGCCTCCCTTTTAGGCGGCGTAGGCCCTCAATTGCCTTAATCACTAAGAAGGATTTTGTGGGGTCTGTTAGACTACCCACTTTATGGGCATAACCGATTCCCGACATATAAGTAGAAATTGAAGAGGCGGACAGACCTTGCTGGGCGTAATAAGCAATAAAAAGAAGTAAATCTTTAATAGGGACTGGCCAAGTGTCTGGTAATTGATAGTTATTTCTAAAGTTGAATAACTTTTGAATGCTTGTTGCATAGGTTTTACGGGTAGATGCAGCCACTGAATTAGAAATTAATAGCTGTGCAAGACTATCTAGATGTTCCACAGGTGGGATGGAATCTGTGTGGGTTGCCAGTCTGCCTCTGGCGCTGCCTGTCTGAATCTGGCCCACTGTGAACGAGAAAGTGCATCTGCTATGACGTTTTTTCTAGAAGGGATATAAGTGGCTTTAATAGAGATATTGTGTAGTTAGCATAACCAAAACTAGATGTCTAACTAGATTCATAATTCTCTCAGATTTACATGTTTGAGATGAAATGATATGTATCACAGCTTGATTATCTATGTGGAATAATATTTTCTTATTACGAAAAGAATTTGACCAAGTAACAATGGCTGCCACAACTGGAAAAAACTCTAACAGAGTCATGTCTCTAGTGAGTCCTCCTATAACCCAATGTGAAGGCCATGAGCCCTGTGACCAATGGCCTGCAAAATAGATACCATACCCTCCTGTAACACCACCTGAACTGTCGGTATATATTTCAAGGGTGTTGTCTGAAAGCCAAATAGGGTCAGATATCAAGGTTATTCCATTGTATGACTGGAGGAAATGTAACCAAAGACCTAGGTCTTTACGCATATTGGCAGAAACCCTTATCTTATGATGAGGTTTTATTACACCTATGGTTGCATCAATTAGCCTTCTGCAGAATGCTCGCCCTGGGGCAATAACTCTGCAAGCAAAATTCAAAGATCCTAGTAGGGACTGCATGTCCTTGAGGGAAATTTTTTTAGCATTTATTGCTATGATAATTTTTTGTCTAAGATCTACGAGCTTGTCATTAGGTAACCGCATTGACATCTGTACAGTATCAAATTCAACCCCCAGGTAAACCAAACATGTAGATGGAGCACATGTTTTGTCAAGCGCAATTGGTATACCAAATTTTTTACAAGTATTTTCAAAAGATTGCAATGTATGTCCAGGTTGAATATGATTAGATGACTCACCAAATAGGAAGTCATCTAGATAATGCAAGATGTTTGAGTTATGACTATTGGCAACTACCACCCAATGTAAAAAGGAAGCAAATTTTTCCCAGAGGGCACAGCTAATTGAAGACCCAAAGGGAAGCATTTTGTCATAAAAATAGTAAGTAACTGGTTTACCTTTTTCTCTGACCATTACTTTAAAACCAAGCAGATCAAAGTCTGCTGGGGAAATGGGGAGAAGGCGAAATGCTGACTTTACATCAGATTTGCTAAGTAGGGCACCCTGACCTAATCTGGCAACCATATCTGCCGCTTGATCAATTGTTGAGTACGACACAGAGCAATGATCTTCATCAATATAGTCATTAATAGATCTATTTCTGGGATAAGACAGGTGGTGAATTAGACGGTAGTCACCGCCTTTTTTGGGAACTAAACCAATGGGAGAAATTTGTAATGTTGGAAATGGGATTCTGAGAAATGGGCCTGCTACCCTACCGACTTGTATTTCTTTAATTATTTTTGTATGCAGGACCCCTGGGAGTTCCCTGGCACTGCGTAAATTTGGAGAGTCTCTGTGTACCCGGGGGCCCTCGTATTGTAAGGGAAAACCTTTTGATATGCCTGTGATAAGGTCTTTTGCTGCACTAAATGGGTAAAGTTTCAAAGCTTTTAGTAATTCAGTGATATTTAATGGTGTATTGCCGATCTGATAAAGAGGTGAGGTACTATTGACCAGTGTGGCATACTGTCTGTGCATGTTTTCCTCCGCATAGCCTGCAGACATGACTGTACCTACAAGGAGTAAAAGGACAATGACTACCAGAATTGAAGTAATTACATGAAAATGACTTAGGACTGGAGGTACGTTGTTTATTAAACTTAACTGCAGGGGTGCCCGTAATTTGAGATGTTGTTTTACTATTATAGGCAGTACTCCTGGTTTGACCTGCAAAATCAGGTACTCTAGGTGATTGACCATTTACATAGAGCAACCAAAGTTCTAAATCAATGGTGCCCCAAGACCTAGATGGGTTGTTTGATTGGACCTGGCGGAATTGTTCATCATATTTCCACCAGGAGTCTGATCTTGTTGCTGCTAAGCGTACATCCCGGAGGTATTTTAACAGCTCCTGGGATCTGTTGGGAAACCTTTCCAGGTAAATGCTAATAAAAACGATGAATGCCGATGTCCATTGTTCAATAGACATTTTGAAATTTGACCCCCTTGGCTTTGTGACGCATAACCTCCCGTTTCTAAATTGCAGTTCCCCAATTTGACCCTCTTCAGAATACTCTTGAAGCTGGCGGGATGACTTTAGAAGAAGTGCCAGGTCGGTAAATTCTCCAGCCCAAATTTTTTCTTTTATTTTTACAGGAATAGTACTTCCTAAACTATGAAAATTTTCATCAATGTTTACAGGATTTGATAGTTGAGTTGGCGAGTTATGAACCATTACTGAATCAAAGGGTTGATAATCTAATGAGGGTGGCGATGGAAATGAAACATACGGCCGGGTACCTTGTAATGGTGATTCCCGCGCTTCTACATCGCCGCCTCCCTGACTGGCACTGTTAACCGGTGTTTCCACCAAACCGCCTTATTTACTTTACCGGATTAAACTGCACCTACCCACCCGCTAGATGATGTGTTTAAGAAGGATTATCGAATACGAGATTCTGGATAATCCCTATTATATGTTTAAATATACATGTATTTTGTTAGACAAACTTTGAATATTAAATAACATTCAGCCATTCCTCAATTGAAAGGGTAAATACTTGTAAGCATATATATATATATAAACCCATTACTCTAAGCACTATTTAATAATGTGCTGTACATTTATATATCTGACTGTAAAAACAGTAGAATTAGGATATCAGAAAGACAATTTACGTATTATTTATGTACAACATGTCATTGTGTTATAAATGTACATAAACAAAATTGGATATTATATAAGTGTCTTTGTATACTGAAAGTGATAAAATAAGAGGCTGTGTCAGGTGAAAATATTTTAAATCCAATTTTTAATTATTTTTTTTGTGATCTTGATTTTACTTGATTTTTGTGCTTGGGAATATTTTTTATGATCTTTGTAGAGGGCCACTTAAGAATCATTACTGTAAAATTTGTTCAAAATTCACCATATGGTTTAGAAGTAAAAGTTATTGATTGAAATTATGGATAATGACAAATGGCAGAGACTTCCCATATCAAATGTTCAACTTTGAGTCAGGTGACCTTAAAAGAGGCATTTCTTTGCAAAAACTTACTTAGGTTACGTAGCAAGTGAATTTCTCTATGGATCTAGGTAAGCGACGCTATATTAATTTTTCAGTAAATATATTTTGAGTTGATTTTGCCGAATGTTTGCAGTTTTAAATTTTTGCTTTGTATTTTCATATGATACATTTTCACGTAAAATCAGCGGTTTTAAATGTTGGTATTTGCTTTTACTGAAGTGCTGATGATTCCGTCTTCATCATTACAATTTGCCGTACATTGTTTTGCTTTTCAAATATTGATGGAAAATTGCTAGTTTTGTACATGACAATACTTTTAAATTGTATATGCAAACACTTGTTGCACAATTGTCACGTAGTATACGTTGTAAAATTGTATAATATAATTCAAAATATGGAACGCCCCCCGCCATTGCCTTTGCCGGTCATGCATCTTGTTATTCATGTGTGCGATTTTATCCATAAACTGTATTATAAAAATTGTACTAGCTGCAATGTAGCTCTTATAATTATTTATTTTTGCCATTATTTTATTTTATGTAACATAATTCAACAATTTGTTCACTTGGGGACCATATGCCGTTTTTCATGGAATGGCACTAACATGTCACATTGAATGTTCCATGATAACTGCCATATGAACACATCTGCGGATGTTTCATAATTCCAAATTTTACCAATTTATGTTAAATGTTTATTACTGCTTAAGCGGCGCAGTGACTACCCTGACACCTAAACCTGTTTACTATAAGAACCAGCGGAGATATTATTATGATTATAGCAGCTGGAAGTCTGTAGATTACGACCCCGACACGACACGCAAGGAGGGCTACATGATGATAACCAGCGACGCTAGTGAACGACCAAAGACAGCTAGAAACATTTGATAACCGGAAGTTAATGCCCGGTATAACGAATCGTATACCTAGGAGGGTAGATGAAGGATTTATAGCTCAGCCTGTACCATGCGAGCATCCTCTTTTCGTATTCTTCTTGTGAGTTTTGTATCATTCTGATGTTAGATCAGAATGGCTTACACTTAACATAGGAGCAGCGTGGAGGTTGTTAGGATAATAAGGAATTTGAAATAGGTGTATTTTTATAAGTTTGTTACTGCAACGTGTTACTCTAAGTTTTAATTATAGGACTTACTGTAAAGTGTAGGACTTTCCTTAAACTATAGGACTTACTTTAATCTGCATAATTCATTTATTTTCATTTCATTTTTCTTCCATTTGTAGAAATTTCATCTCTTTTTTTAAATAATAAACTTGCTTATTTGTACTGTATTTGTTTTCATCGTATTATCTGCTTTTGTTCGTCCATCCTGTGACACACGTTTATATATTTAAATTGAGTTGGTCGGAGTAAAGCCAGACCTGTTAGAAAATTTAATAGCTGGTAACCGAGGTTGGTACAAAACCAACAGCTGAAGAAAGATCAGTTTATCCATTATGGGATATATTTCGTAATCAAAATATACAAACAAAATATGCTACCTTATCAATAAAAATTATAATTCTAAAAGCCTAAGATTTCTTTAAGTGGAGTCCGTTGAACGTTAACACGGTTGTTAAGTCGTCGTGTAAACATTAGACATTTGCTAACCTTGACCCTCCTTATTTAAAACTTTTCGTAAACAATTGTCTTCTGGACAATGGTTTACAGACGGTCACTAAGACCCTCACTCTAGCTTTGACTCTCACTGACTTCGCTTTTTTTTCGAGAAGGGGGGGGGAGGGGTTGGATTAATCCTATCTGTGGCACAAAAAATGTTAGCATATATTAAAAAAGACACAAAATAGTTCTTTGGCCTCCACTTCATCATTTTCCAATTGGCATAAATGAAATAATAAATCGCAAAAAAAAACTAAATCATACATTATATATTTCTCTCATAAAACATGGTATAAAACAGAACATTAAATTACACATAGAGAAATGATAAAATATAACAAATCACAAATATACCTTAACAACGTCATGTTTTATGACACAAATATAATTCAACACACGAATCAACATCATTATTGTTTATATTAAACAAAATCATAATTTTCATAAAATTTGAAACATTATTTTTCTATATTGTTTTTCATAAAGTAACTTTAAATGATTCACACTGACATATTTCTTTTGTAGTATTTATCACCATATTTTTTATTGTGTTACAAACGCAGTTTGGGCTTTTTTTTGCATATTTTGACATCTTTTTGTAAGCGTCGTTTGCTATTTGTTAATTAACATCCTTATTCACTTTACGTTATTTTACTAACATTGTCATGAAAATTTGCATGAATCTGGAAGCATGCTGCTTTAAAATACAATGTTAAATTTTCTAGATTTTTTCAGAAACAATCTTTCTTATTTACATTGATGCTTTTTATGATAATTATCCTAATATTTTTTCTCTTATTAGCAAACAAATTGTCATAATAACATTGTTAACTTTATGAAAAAGAGTAGTCATACACTGAATTAGGAATTGTTTATTATTGTTACCAGGGGTTTCAAAATTTGTTAATCTAATGAGTAATTTTTTTAACCAAAAATTGGCTAATTGTGTGACTCAAATTTTCAGAAATTTCTCTTCTACCGGTAAAAAAAATTGCTAACAAGAAAAATACAATAGAGTAAGGAATGGGTTAGTAATTTGAATACCATAATATTCTAACCATAACCCTATATATTTCAAGAATTCTTTATCACACTATTTTATAACATGTTACTAGAACTCAATGAGTTAAATTATAATGCATCTTATAGAATATATCTTCCAAATAGAAGAAATAAAATAAAAATTGAAAAAATAACTAAAAATATGTGCATTATTTACAATTCCAGCTATATATACAAGCGTTTATAAAAAACCTAAAACAGTTTGTAAAATTCACTTGTTCATCCTTAAAAGCTGACTAAACGAACCAGAAAACAAAAATGTGTATCATTTAAAACTTTAAAACACACATTGTACAAATAAATATACTCCATAGGAGACATATTTGTTAAAGGCCCATTTAACCCCTAAAAAGGTCTGTGAGTTCTTTGTTGTTCTTTTTTGCTTTCTATAAGTACTTAAAAAATCAGATAATTTCTCATCCAATGCTACTTTCTTAATGTAAATGCATCTTTTTGAATATCATAAAAAGATAATGCCTTTTCATTACTGAGGTTTAATGGGCCTTTAAATTATATTTATGTATTTTTTGAAAATCAGTTGTTTACGGAAGTTTTAAGTTTACATAAAGGTAAATGTCATACATGCAATCAGTACGTCTAAATTTAAAGTTCTTATCCAGAGATTTGTAGATATTAAGTCTGTAGCCTCCTAATCTATATAGAATTAAAAATTGTCAAATGTTTCACCAGACAGGCTGTTTGTCTGTTTTTTTCTTTTACGCCTTTTCCCAACAGTATTTTCAGTCATATAGGCGGGTAGTTTCCTAACCATTGTTTCCTGGAAGAAGTTACCCCAGTAACTAGACTACCTTCCCCTTGCTAAACTACCCAAAGCATTCCCGGGGGATCGAACCCACGCCAGAGAGGTAAACTGGATTAGAAGTTAAATCGGGACTCTAAACCCCTCGACCACGGAGGCGGTACACCAGACAGGCTGACAAGGAAAAAATTAGCATGTTCTAATTATTGAATCAATGATGGGGCATTTCAACATTATTTTCTACTAAAGATCCTTGAAAATATCAAGTTAATTCGAGATTTACAATCTGAATGAGTAGACGCTCCCTTGTTTCTGAGAGATTGCCTTTAAGAGTTAAGGCATCAGAATTGTAGCCATCGTTTATCCCTGTATGATCGAAAAATAGCACTAAATTGGGTTGAATAACAAGAGCCTAAGCATTTCTTAGTAAAGGTAATTTTTACCCCTGGTATTGCGTTAAGTTTGTAAAGTTAGGAAAATCATCTTTCTTGTTTCTTGTTCAGCGCCATATGACCTAAATTGTGGAGTGCTTCGTAATAGAAAAAATAATAAGAAACAATAATGAAGGATGTACATTCCCTTAACAACATTCCAGCTTACAAATATGTATAGCGCGAGTGGGAAATAAGTATTTACACGATATGGAAGGTAAATGTTTTCAGCATGAAGTCTTTGATAATAAGAATCTATAAATCTATGATATTACCATTTCAGCAAATCTTTTAATATATTATTGTGTTAAAAACAAAGTTGGAAAATATGTACAAATAAAAATATTGCAATGAACTACAATGACTGGAAAAATCATGGGTTTCTGTATTAAAAATCAAACTAGTAATTGTGTCTAACATTAATACAAGCAAACAAAAAATGACACTGTATTTAACTAACAGCTGAACCTGTCTTTAAGTCCAGTCTGGAAAATATTACAAATCCAAATTTTGTTAGATGTTTTATTATTATTTTTATATTTAGCTCTGCCGGCTATCTTGTTCAGCTGACTGTTATAGGGATCATCATCCCTCTATAGTTTAATCATTATCAGCCATGAGGAATGGGGAATATTGAAAGTAAAACGTTGGATACAAGACACAAGGTGATCACTTTATCATGTATAACTATATACTAAAAGTTTACAGTTTACATATCCAACATGATAATGGTCTTATGGCATTTTCAAAGAGTAATTTATATTTCATATATCTTACAATATAATAGAATTGAATCCATGGAGTAAAAATGTATCAAAAACATGAGCAGAAAATAAATCTACGATGAAATAAAATGTCATTCACCTGATTATATCTAGGAAACTAGTAATTGAGGTACATGTACGATTATGAGACAATGAAACATTACACATGTATAAAATTTGAACATGATTATTCTTCAAGATACTCAAATAATACTGACAGTGAAGTAACTTACAAAATTCTTTATATTTTTATCATAACATTACTGTTATATACCAAACACAGCAGTAAGCGCTTAAACACAAATCTCTAACTTTTACAATGACTTTATTCACAAAATGGAAGAAATTACTTTGATAGCGTTGTTTTTAATAAACGTTAAACTATAACGGGTTAACTCAAATGAAGGGGAATTAACCCGTTACTGCACTAAGGTGACAAATTATATTGGTTTTAAATGAAATACATGTAACAGTTTATATGAAACAAAACAATGATTTACTATATGAAATATTGCAGTTTACAATGATTGTGCAACACGAATAAAAGGAATAACATTACTTTTATTTAACTGCAGTGCAATAAAATGTGCTTAAAAATACAATGTGATTTTGCAAGTATAAAAATCTGAACAAAACACAACTTTGTGCAGCATATCTGTTCAATAAATAAGAAATCATAATTACAATTGACAAGGTTTCTCTTTTCAATGTCTTTAAATTGTACAAATGGTAAAAACACCAAAGCCGTTTGGATAGCATAGTTTTTATTTTTGACCAATTTTAGTTGTTAAATCTCATTTTAAAGGTTATGATTTTGCGTGGTTATATAACTAGTTAGTATGGCAAAATATTATCAAGAGCCCCTGAATGAAGTTATGTTGAAACATCAAATATAATGACAAATGGCATGCTAGAATATTTCATCTTGTTATGTCACAGCAATTAAGCATCCATCTAAAATAAAATCTAAAATAATTTCAACAGGACCACAATTTCTTAACATTTTACAAAAAATATCAAACTGAAATTTTTGTCATAAATATTTTGTGACGTGTTTCTGTTAGATACCCTATAACAAAAACCATACTTATTTAAGCTGGACTGACTTGAAAGACATTAATAACATTATTAATAACAATTTGTAGTCACTTTTATGCCAGCTTTCAGGACTTTATAGTGCTGATGTCCTGCAGAAAAACATGGCTTGGTTATGAATCCCATATGATAAGGTCCATGGTAAGCCTAAAGAATAAAAAGCCTCTAGTAAGTTATTGATTTGAATATAAATTTGTAAGCCTTATTATGGGTTTTGAATGGAATATCAAAATAAACAAGTTTTTATCTGATATTAAAGGGGTAATTAGGATATTAATTGATCAAAATGTAATGTTAATCATTAACTTAAAATGATATATTAGGGCAAAACTACTTTGTATTATACAGAATTTCAATATTCTCTTCTCTTTTTGTGTCATCTTGTTTTAACATTAAGTGCTAAAAATCTTAAAATCAAAGGCAATAATACTTCTTAGAACTCAGAACTTAACAAAAAGAATATAAAAAAATACTATATGTTTTACCAGATTAAATTGTTTATAGAGATTAACTGATTAATGCATGAACTAACGCATTTATCAGATCTTAATTTCAACACATGTTATTATGCAAATTTTATAAACTCAGGTATTTTTAAATTGCCTTGTCTGTACCTACAATTTACTAACTAAATAGGAGAAAAGTTTATTGGCGAAAAAAAAAACAACAACCAAAAACCGATGATCCTTGAAATGTCATTGAGTAAACACACACCCAACGCTTTGTTCAAATATAAAATATCATGTACATTTATCAAGTAAATGTTTTAAAAATACACGAAACTAGATGCTGAATGTTAATTCTCCCAGCTGGCCATGATTTCTTCTCGCAGATGATAACTATACTGGTAACCATGGAAACTAGAGGCATGTTCAGGTCGTATCTATTCTGATCATACGTAGTTTGTAGTTATCGGCAAGTACACATGCGGCTTCGTTGCTACCCCCACAGTAATGTGACGAGGAGAATACAGTCAATAACTTGCCCTGTTGTTGTACCTGGTCAAAAAATTAAATCAGAGCATTAATATTCTAGTACTATATACTTAAGATTACCTTACCTCGTCGAAGTATTAAATCAAATATTCCAGTAAAATATACTTAAGATTACATTACTATGCTAAATTTTCTCTATGGAAATACCCTGCTTTGAATTTGGAACAGTCTAATTTTATTTGTGAGGGAATTCCACAACAAAAATAAACAGTCAACAGGATATAGCCAGGTGCGACAACTCAGCAGTCTGCATATTGGCTGGGTTCTATAGATGGACAACAGTTTACTGTTCCACAAACACCCATTAAATAACTGTTTTATTATCAAAAAAACTCTGCAACTCTGCACAGTATTTAATAAGCTCCTAAAGGCAAGAAAGGTAAACAGAATAACTAACACCCGGCACCGAGTTTGTAAGTGAGGGACATTAGATTAAATGTAGAAGGCCATCACAATCGTATGAGCTTTGTTAATCAGAATAGTTCTGCTTGATGAAACAAATACAAAGAAAATTAGTTTTGTTAAATGCTAGTGAATTTAAAGTATTCACAAATTTCTTAAACATAAAAATCAACATATGAGATTTACCTGGAAGCCAGCTTCCTGCACCTCATGAGCCCTAATAACATGTGTGAGGCCATTTCTATCTAAGAAGCCAAACAAAGCATCACAGAAGCTGAAGAAATGGGCAGTCCCACGTCTAGTGTTTGCTATGAAGCCTTTTGTTTTCTTTTAATTCCTGAATTGTCTCTGGAGTTAATACATCCAGACTATAAAAATGAATAGAAAAATATTTTTGAAATACAGCATTTTAGAATTTTAAACATAAATTAGTCTATTCTTGTTGAATATGCATAATAATTATCTATTCTATAACCTTATTTTGCCCAAATCATTTAACTTTATTTCATTGAGTTTAATGTGAGGTCACACCAATATTACAAGGTACAAGTGACCAATTTTAAATGAACTGGTACAGAAACACCCCTAGTTCCCCTTCTTCTCATGCATCAAATCAGACGTGAGCAGGTGACTGAGTAGTAACATTTACCCTCTAAAAGCTAGCTATGTAGCTTATAGAATTTAATGTCACTGTCTCACTGACAAGATCTTATTTTATATGCAACATGCTCCTAAGTCAGCAACACCAATCATTTGATTGTAAGTGTCCCCATGAAAATTGCTTTGATTTATTGTATATATACCTGACTGGATCACTCCACATTATATCCCATGCCAGAGTACTCTCATCTTCAGGGTTCTTCAATGGGTTTGGCACTTTGTTTATGGCATCTATAAATCCTCCGTCTAATTCCGGCATTGGTATACCCCCATGTACACAAAATATCTGAATTAAATTTACATATACATTGTTATGTATCAAAACATAAAAGTTTCATTGTACTCTTTACAAAGTAAGTGTCATAAATAAATGACACCTTTCAGATTTACAGAAGAAGAATAACCACAGGCTCCCAGCTTTCATCACAAAACGAGGACATCTTGTGGAACCACAACCTCCTCTAAGCTGAAAGTGCTCAATTTAATATTTGATATATTACGAGTCCCAAAAATTCAAAGCAGAAGAAGAGGGCAAGCCCTGAATATAAATTCATCCAACAGTAGTAAATTATAATGAAGAGTCTGACTATATATGTTCTTGTCTTTTGTCAATTATGTAATAAAGAAATCTAAAAAATTAACCGTTTTGTTGATTTTTAAAAAATTAATTTTAAGTGGTTAAAATATTCAAGAAATTTGGGATTTCAAATATTGACACTACTCTATTTCTTGTTCCACCAATAATTTTCTTATGCTGCTTGTAGAAGTTCCTTAAAATTGTTTAAGAAGTTATCTTTTCATTTTAATTGGAGAGTTACCTACCTTATCATCTACTGTTGCTGCTATTGGCATAACATCAAAACAGTCATTGATTGCCTCCCATAGTTGGCTACCTATACTGTCACCAAACTTAGACAGGCACTCGCTGAATAACAATACATAATTTACATTACAGTATTTTACCTGCAAAACACGTGACACAACATTGTCAATGAAAACAATAATAACAACAATTAAACAACAACACGGGGCCATTGCTCCCACAGCACTTACCTTGAGACAGAATGATTCAACGTTCTCTATATTAAAAGAAAATCAAATTTCCCCACATAAGGTTTATTTTAACCCAATAGCAATAATTTTAAAAACCCTGGTACAGGTATACAAGATGTTTCAGGTAAATAATCTAGGCCCTTGGGCTTCCAGATACATGTTCAGCGAGCCAATTATGATTTTTTCTGCTCCGGGCCACAAACTCATAATCGGTCATGTGACACTCATAATCAGTTGAAATCGTAGGCAATTATGTTACTATACATAATAAGAGTATTGAAAGATCTTACGTTTTGAACGAGAACATTTCTTGTACACTCCGTAACTCATGGTTACCCCTTAACAGGTGAAATTTGTGAGGAGCTAAAATCTTCTGTGCGAACAAATATGAAATGACATGTGAAATAAAATAGCATATAATTATAAATGTTGATCTATCATGAAGGCATCGTTTTATTGGCTCATTCAAATCATTATTCTTGAAAATTTATCTTATATTGCAAGGAATAGATATAGAGAGTTCTACTTATAGAATCTTTACAGCAATCTTTATCAATCAATGCAAATCATTTATATTAATAGTTGAGGTTTTAAGAATTGGCTATCTAAGTGAAGTTTAATAAACATAAGTGCCGGTTTTAAGATCTTTCAATCAATCTTTAAGTTCATTTACCTTCATAACTTCAACACAACCTAACTTTAATTTGTTTTCAAATCATAATTGAATGAATATCCTTAGAGAAACATAAAATTATATGACATTAAACAAAAATCAAGTACACATGTACCTCAATTCCAAAGTCACCTCTGTCAACATAATCTCCAAGGAACAAAAAGGAAGCTGGGGTTAATAAAGGTCCCAATCTCCATAGAGCTTTCTCAAAACATATCAAATCTCTATAGTTCCCATGAATATCTCCTAAAACAACAAGAAAATATACATGAGAAAATACCACAAATTTACTTTTTCTTTTGTCTCATTTATTTCCAGTTTTCTTTTGATTTCAACAATTTTTGGATTGTCCCCTTAACTGGCTTTCCTGCATAATAACCATGTACAAACTTCTGTGAAAGTGGCCAACTACTTATCCCACATGATTATCTAATCAGTGGTTGGGGACAAATGGCTATTAATCTCAATATCTGAGAGAAAATTGCCCTCCCCAAAAGGGTTAAACCCAAAAACCCTTTCCATTTAAAATTTCCCCACTTTTTTTTTAGCGTATTTGGGGGGGGCTAAAACCTCAGCACAGGCCTTTAAAACCCGAAAATCCTGCATTTTCCCGGGCTAATTTCCCCTCTCTATTTTGGGCCTTAGCCTGGGGCTTTAAAATATTTCACAACAATAAAATTTTTTGAAAAGGGGTTTCAGAAATCAATGTCTATGATCTCATTTACAAAATACTAAAACTGAACGTCAATTGCATAGAATGAAAACTATGCTAGTTTTATTTTCCTCATATCTCCAATAACATGAAACTACAATTCCCCAGTTTAAGTTTGAAATAGTTGATAACTGGTGGAATAGACTTATTTATTCATGCGATATGCATTCAAATAAAACATTTAATATAAATTCAAACAACTTATATATACAAAATTACCTAGGATATACATTGGAGCTTTTAACTTGAGCAATCTTGGTTCATCTGAGAGAATGTCCTTGACCTGTCTACACAAAGTTAACAAACATTTAGCAAGGGCATTCTTGTCTACCTGTCCCTAGTCAAATGCATTCTGAAAATGTATATAAACTGTATGTAACATTTATATCAAATATCAATGTTCATGCATGTATAATATTACATTACTTAAAATTGTGAGCGACTCCCATCCATTTTAAAACTATACAAATTATAAATTTTAAATTACATTTTAAACTGTTATAAGCCCGTATTCTTTTAAAGGTAGTAGCTATCATATGGTGACTTTCCAGCTTTACAAAACAAAAGTGCACCTGTATAGCCCCACAAATGTTCTGAAGCGTAACACAACATGACGAGATGACAGTGATTGGTACGAAAACATTTGCAGTTCTTAAAACTTTTATATATCGATTAATTAAAACATGATAATTTTAGTTTTGAACGTGACATGAATGCTTTTGCACCCCACCCCCCCCCCCCCCCAAGTCTAAAAACCCATCATTCTTTAACTTACAATAACAGGCCATCACTATTCTTCATAATATATACAATATAACTAGGTGTACATTAAACAATTAGTACCTTTGTGAAAGATCCATTATCTCCCTTTATTGACCTCTCAAAGTATTTAAGACCAGTAAACATTTCATTAGGATGAGATCGTTGATTGAAAGAATCTATAGACGACATCCGTTGGAATCTTGATATATCACCTTCTTAATGTGTAACTGACGTGTTGGTAATAGCCCCAGTGCCTGTATACATGAATACATTATAAACTTTTTTATCTATGTACATGTAATAGTAAATGTATCTATAACCTGACCTTCCATAAGATAACAGGTATATTCCTCGCAAAAATAAATTTTGAATGTGCAAGAAATTGTGAACTTTGAATCAAAATATTGTGAGAATCAAATAAAGGGATAGAGTATTTCATTCAGCAAACTAGATCACTCCCTATATATTTTAATATAATGCATAAGTTATAAACTGTAATTAAGTATATATGTGCATGAGAAATAAGAACACATATTCACCATGTAAGTCTCATATTGCCATCTCTTGCAGCTATACCCCAGTTCTGCGTACCTACATAAATATCTACCCCTAG